TGTTTGTATGTATGTATATGTATGTATGTATATATATATATGTAACCACACGTATATACAAACATAAACATACATGTATACATACATGTATACATACATACATACATACATACATACATACATACATACATACATACGTACCTACACATATATACATATACATATATATATATATATATATATATATGCATGCTCGCTCAGCCCCAACTTGGCCGGCCTGCACTGGAGCCAGCAGGAGGATTGCAAAGCGCCAGAAGAACATTATGATACCTCAGGCAACAGATTCAACAGCAGTCCTCGGATGTCCTTATCAACTTGCAGCGATATGTCGAGGACCACAGCCGAGTTCACGGCCGGAAGCAGGGCGGTGGGCAGTCGCCGCATGACTTGAAAGGCTTGTCGCAACCGACAGGAGCGAGGACACACTTGACAGAGCTCAACAGGTGTCAGCGCAGGAAACAGCCCTCATTCCTGGAGATATGCATCAAAGTCCTTTCTTGCAATGGTTGCACGTGAGATCTCGCAAGATCTCCGTGTAAGCTAAGCAGTACATGCATCCGCAGCACCGGCTGAGACGGGCTCTGGCGCGAATTCGTTGTCCTAAAGTCCTAAAGCCGGCGGTCACCGGATCGTGCGGCCGAGAGGAAGCGAGAAGGACAGGCTCGACCCAGACCTTCCAGCTCTCAAGCTCGATGCTGGAAAATTGGGGGCCGTCTTGCGGCTTTCTCGTATGAGAACAAGGCGCTGAGAAGCGGACCTTGATTTTGTGCTTGGAAACACGTTCCAAAAGCGAAGCGTCTCATCCCCTGCACCAGTCACCTCATCCATATTGGGATCCGACGGAAAATTGCAGAGCCGGCAGGTCTTCTCCCTCCTTCTCGGCCTGAGGCCTGGACGACCGTCTGACCATCGGGCGAGATGGCCAAGTAGAGGACCTGGAAGTCAAGAGAGCTTCGATGGGGTTCCCTGTGCCTGGGAATCTCAGGATGGCCGGGGCTCTTAGAGTTCTGTGCCAAGCAGCCCTGTAGGTGTGCCCGGTGAGAGTCGCCACCTGTCATAAGTTGACAAGCGCAAGAAAAGCTACCTGCCGCTCGGAAGCTCTCACACTCCCGAGCCTTGGTCATGGAAGGGTACTTCCACAGGATGATCCTTGCATCAAGGAGCAACTACGGACACGGAGCCACCGGTAGTCTTGCTCTGGGAACCGAGGCATATCGCAGACATTCCGGCACTTAGGTCTTGGGCACGAGCTGATTGAGAGAGTAGCCATGAGTGCTCACAATCTCGTTCAGATTCTTGGACCAGACGAGGTTACACACCTCTCACGGCCCAGGACACGGAGTCATTCGCTGGAGCGCATAAGCCATGTAGTGCTTCTGTGCCAAGGGCCTGAGAACCGGTGTCAATGCACGATAAAGGCATGTTGTTGACGGTGTTCCAGAAACGGATGCACCTGGCATGGACTGAGCTGCTGCCACATGGTCGGGCCCAATTCAGCGCAAACTGCTCGCTACAGACCCCTGGATCCGCCCAGCATCCAATCGCAAGAAGACGCTTCATAAGCTCAAAGCAGCAGTTTGGGGCGTGATGTGGGGTGTCCGAGGTAAGTCTGGGACCCATGACTGGAGAAATAGTCTGCTAACTGAGGCCACACAATGACAGACCTCGAGCACCACCGCCAAAGCGACGAGAGAGCCCAAATGGATGCTGAATCCGCTCCCTCTCAACCTGAACCCTCCAAAACTGCAGCAGATTTCTTGATGACTGTGTTCCAGTTTCTGCACTGATGCCGGAGTGCCTGTCTGCAGTCCCGCCTCCGGAGGCCAGCAACCCGTGCCTGAGGCCATCGGTCTGAAGCAACGGCCATGTTCTGGAAAGCGTCTGAGGCCCGCGCTGGTGTGGGGACCACGCAATTGCCTCGAGCACCATTCCCGCTCCCCACCGCCACCTTTGACCGGCGNNCCCCCCCCCCCAAAAAAAAAAACGGCCCGCAGGGCCTTCACGGCTGCTTGGTGGCGATTAAACTTCAGCACCGGCTCGGTGGATTTCAACGACCAAACCTTGGAATCGCCAGCAGCCGGGCCCCCCTCCTCCAGGGCGATCTGCAACCTCTGAGATCTTCTGAGGGTCGCTGCGCAGAGCTTGTTGTCATTCCCACCGGAGGCCAGCTGTTGCTCGTCGAAAGACCACTTTAAGCCGCAAACCTGGCCCACGACGCCCACGACCACAGGGACACCCGGGGCAAAGTCACAAAAAACAGCAGAAAAAACCTTCCACGGACTCGACTCGCGACTTAGGTTTTGAGCCTCCTGTCGATGGCCATGAAGCTTGGACCTCGCGCCAACACATAGCTCAAGATGTTAAAGTGTTGTTTGTATCTTGACGGTAAGGTCGGAGCATGAAGGGTGCCGGTTGGCGGACGTCTCGGTGAAGGATGTGGTGATCCCTGCTCCCGGTGGACCTCAGCAAAATTGACCCTGCTGCTAAGTCTGAGTAAGCTCTGCTGCAGGTAAGGATCACACAGAACGAAACCATTCCATGCCATTGTGCCAACTCTGCCCAGATGTCCACTCCTGGGCTTCTGCAAAGAAAGGGAACTCCCCTTCGGCCTACCGGACTTTCGGAAGACCTGAACAAAACCCTAAGGCTGGGACATTGTTCGCATTTTGCGACATTGCGTGGAGTCCCAAATCTGGACCTCGCCCTTGTTCGTTCCAACCTCGCCATGCGCACGTTTCTCGATGCTCGAGCCACTGAAGGTTGAGAACCGGGCGGCGAGGTGAGCCCCCCTCTGGGTCCATGAAACCGAGGTCACGGTATCATCCGGCCCCAAATCGCAAAGCTTGGTGACCTGAGGATCCGCAGTTTCGCGGCAGACCAAGCAGGAGCCAGCAAACCTTTTGAAACTGCACACTTATCATTACTCTCCAACAGTAGGCTAGGTGTCTCGGGTCTTGTGTTCCTCTATGGAACGACCATGGCAAAAGTCCGCCTTCCCAGCTGGGTGTTTCAGTATGAGCTTCGCAGCTCTCCATACTGGGACAATGCCTACGTTCAGGATTGTTGCGGCCGTAACCTGAACCACCCTTGTTTTTAAACTCGGCGGTTAATCTACCCTTGACTACGTAGTGACTCCATAATATCCTTTTATGTGAATGCTGTCCTGGAAAAAAAGTGTTGCCTCAATGACAACTGAGATCAAGGCACGGCTGGTGCAGGCGCTCCAAAGGTACACACAGTTGCTTAGACCTGAAGGACGAGACGGTGCAGCCCGATGCAATGCAACAGGGACCAGGAGGTTGTTCTGGGCATGTCGGCACAGATATTCAAGCAGTGGGAGGCTCTGATCCAGTAAATATGAGCAAATGCTACATGCTTCCTGCGACTACTTTCCGCATCTTTGTGGGCAAAGTTGCTGCGCCTGTCCACATGTAGTCAACCGGCGCTCGTGCCGCAAATCGGTTGTTGCGTGTTTAGGGCCAGCGATGCGATTGCCAAACGAAGCATCGACAGATGAGCACGTTCAGGACGAAATGCAATGCCGGGTACAGTGAGGGAGGTGTAACTATGTCTAAATATGCCGGTCCCAGTCTCAAAGCAGAACCGAAACAGGTATCGAGAGATCCATTAGTCCAGGTACGCTTACGGTGGCCTGGTGTGCGCCATACCAATAGCTCGAGGCTTCTACTTGTGGCGCGGGTCTATCAACCTCTCTTCCGTGGCAGTCAGAACCAAGGACAGAGCCTACCGACAGCACATTCGCCGAGGACCAATCTACCAGGTTCAGATAGAAGTCGTCCTGCGTGCACATTGGATATTGCAGCAATCTGGCTTAGCAGGAGAACCGGCCCAGTCCTGCAGCTGAGGAGCGTCCAGGACCTGACAGACCCGGACCCCAGGCTACAGCCCAGAGGATCGGGGGGCTTCATGGACATGCATGCTGTTGATTGCTGCCTTGAAAGGCACTTTTGCGATCTTTCTTGGCGCCTTTCGGGGTGTGCTCAGCCTGAAGAAAGATGTCAGCCGGCAGACTTTGGATGACTTTGGCATCTGCGGCATCTCGGGAGCTGACAAGCGGCTGCTCTGGAAGGAAACGGGTGACCTGATCCAAAACGCCCACGGCCGCAACTACAAAAGTTGTAACGGTTCGTCAAACGTTGATGATGATTTTATGAGGGTGCCGCAAGGAAAAGGCATCCTCGTGACTGACCTGAACAAGGCGTGTAGGGCTTGCAATGTCTTGCATCAGACGACTTCCGTCCTGCGGGCAGCTCTTGTATTTGAAGAGGCTTTTGCTGTCTGGAGACCTGAAGGGATAACTATAGCGTTTTGCACTTCTCGTGCCAGCTTTCCCGAAAGAAGGAAACCCGCCTAAAGGGCTTTTCCTCCTTCTCGGCGGACCCCGGGCGGATCCCAAGGAGCCTCCGACGCCGCGGAAGAAGAGCCGGGCCGAAGGACTCCAAAATTGAGAGACGATCGAGGGCCGAGCTCGCTCCGGAGAAGTTGCGCATAGACCTGGCCAGCCCTAAACCCTAAACCCTAAACATCTAGACCCTAACCCCTAAACCCTAAAACCCTAAACCCTAAACACCGAGACCCTAAACACCGAGACCCTAAACACCTGGCCAGTCTGAAGACGGGTTAGCCAAGCTGTCGCTTCAAATGCTCGCTTGGAGGCACCGAGTTGTTCTCGTCGCGCGCTTCTGGTGGCCGAGAGCTCCTTGGGGACTGGCATTTCTGTTATGATTATAACTATCATAACCATTACCATTAATACGATTAATGCGATGACTGTTTTGATTATTAGTATCTTTTCTATTAGTATTTCTATTATGACTACTCTGATCTCTGATCTGGTCATGGAAAGGTCTCTCAGCTTGGCTGCAGGCTCTGAGAGCAGCGTCAGCCCACTCTCAAGGTCCGAAGCCTTCGCAGGTCTCAGGTCATAATACCAATACTAGCAATGACAAGTCTAATCATAATAATAGTAAGAATATTAGTGCTCGAACACTGCAGACCCGGAGGTGCGCTGAGGCTCTCGCAGCTCTGCTCGGGATGAAGCGGTCACTGCATTCGGACCTGGCCTGCAGCGGACCTGGCCTCAGTGACTATCGAGATGGACATCTGGAAGCAGCAAAGCTGAATGTTGAGGGTTTAGGGTTTAGGGTTTAGGGAATGCTAAGGCGAAGGCTTCTCATTCTCTGGTGTCCAGGCATCTCGCACAGGAGATCGCACCCTCAGTCGATTCTGTCTCTTTGCAAGAGGTGCTCTGTCACATCTGAGTCTCCGACCCATAATCATAGGCTTGGCATGCTGCTTCATCCATGGAAGTAAGCTAGACTGGTTTGATGACCTCGTCCGCCTTCGGGGTTACTGGATTTGCGAGCTGTTGTGATCCTGCACAATACCGGCACCACCATGCTTCTGTCAGCCATCGGCGCTGCCTCATAGAAGCCTAAGCAGCAGACTGCAGTGTTGCGGACTTTATACTATACACATATCCAGGAATACTAAACTGATACCCTATTAGTTGCATCCTCATGCGCTGCAACGATGTTTCAAGCCTATCCGAATCACTGATCAAATTGCATGACGACACGTCAGTACTACCGTCGTAGTACGATCCAATAGGGTCTGCAGAAGGTCTTGCGACAGGCTTCAGATTCACGGAGTGATATCCTTTGCTTTAGCTCGAATTATAGGCATGCCGAACTATCTAACTGACGAAAAACCATGTGCACTCTATTGTCCGTCCGTGTTGTGTAAGCACAGTCTTTTCACAGGTTAAACGGTCACACCTCGCTGTCCTTCTAACCATAGCCGCGCGGCGGCCGAACCGTTTGGCTACGATGCCGCCATGGCTACTTCTCGGGAGCTGCCCGAACGTGCTCGTTTGCAACTTTAGGATAGTGCCACCGTACTTATGCAAGACTGATGTCGTCCAGACCGAACGGCATCTTCGATTCAAACCTCGTTAGTTTATGTTTTACTGTGTATTGCCCATCAAGGCACCGCTGATGAAATCTGATCCATGAAACTGCCGATGCCTTTGGCCGGCTCGCAACAGTGAAACACGAATTCTCTCGGAGACATTTGTCTGCGAAGCATGCTACCAGCGGCCTGGCGGCTACCAGAGAATTTCATGCTAGCTCCTCTTGCGCAACAATTGCCTTTAGCTTAGTTCGACAAGGGTGACGGGCCCGAGTGCAACTGGCGAGCAGGGGTCCACCGGAAAATCCCCAATGGCTGCGGTCCGTTTGGCGGTCACCAGGCTCAGTCGTCCAGCATGCAAAGCATTGCTACCTTGGCTCGTCAATAGTGCTGAGCATCTTGCTTCATGGCGTGATGTCCTTGCCAGTCCCTGTTGAATTTGCCAATGTCAACTGACTAAAGTTACTACACTACACTATAGTTTACCATACTACACGACGCTGCACGACACTTTACTATACTGTACTATACTGTACTTTACTGCACTATACTGTACTTTACTGTACTACACTGTACTATATTATACTGTACTCTACTGTAGGGTACTGTAGTATACCATACCATATTCTACTGTACTATATACTATATACTATACACTATCCACTATACACTATGCACTTTATACTATATACTATATCCTACATACTCTTTACTATATACTAGAAAATTATATACTATATACTATATGCTATGCTATATTATACTGTACTATATGACTATACTATACTATACTATACTATACTATACTATATTATGCTATACTATACTATACTTCAGTACCTAATCTCACGCCGTAGCATGAGCCCTGAAGGTTGGCAACTCCGAGCCAGTATAGCAGCACCCAAGTCGTCATATCAAACTATTGAGCCCCTCCACGCACGAACGTCTTGCCTGTCCTTGCACAGCTTTGTTCAGTGAGGTTTGCGAGAACGGGTTTGAAGAGTTCTCATCATACTCCAATGCAAAAGAAGAAAGTGGTCAACTCCGGCCCAGGATCCCAAAGTCGTGTCCCACTTACAAGCGACAAGTGGCAGAGCGGTAAGATGTGATTTCTGCTACACCGAGCCCGTGCCAGCACCCTCAGCCCAGCAGAATGTCCAATCCGAGGCACTCCTCGTGCAATCCAGTGGGCGGTATCTGCCTGGCACAAGCTGAGGCAGCAATGCTGGCCACGATGACAATGGTGGACAACAGCGACAAGTTGTGCGCAGCTCTCAGGTACCAGGCCTCGTCTTGGCTCAACGGGAAAAACTTCACAAAGTTGGTCGAATGGCCGGTAGTGGACAGTGTCCCCTGGCACACCCACGTTGGACTGGACCATCGAGGCCACGTGAATCTGTGCTGCACTTCGCTATCAGACAGGTGGCCTTGCGCTCAGATGTTTTGTAGATCGGGCACATGTACAGATTTCCGTCGATCACTCGCCTGCGCAGTGCAGACAGACAGTCTTGAAAGAACGAACACCGGAGTTACAACACTCGCAGCCGACACGTAACGAACACGGTATCATTCGGGACACGTCCCACGCCTAGCTCCTTGCAACTTTGGCAGCGATCTTCTGGGAGGCGGGCTTGGAGCTGTCTGTGATCGCCAGTGGCTCTAGGTGGATGACTGGCATCTCAACGAACACGACGTCCTGTGACACATCTTGTCTGACGGGCATGCAGTGCAGTTCGTGCTCTGCTTGCACCAACACGGCCGGTACGCGTCATCGTTCCGTTGGTCGGTAGGAGGGTTTGTAGCTTCAAGATCTAATCTCCGTATCACATGCATGTGACACGGCAGGCGGCTTCACGGAAGTCAGTGCCGTGGAGAGACGTGCCGTGTCCTTGTCGGACTCTTTCAGCAAGCCCTTGGACTTGTCCTCGGACATCTCAAACGGCGGACAGCAGCCAAACACGATGAAGCGAAAAACTAAGATTATGCTGAACAAGCTTGGCTCGGACACCAAGTTTGAGGACAACACACCAACACCAAGGTGAGAGTCTGCGCAAAATCCATTGCCCGAGAGACAGATCAGATGTGCCGATGCTGTCTAGCGTGATGGGATGCAAATTGCAGCTCGACACCTGTCACTGCTCGGGCCACCACCCAGCCACATCCTTGAAGGAAGAGTCCGTGAATGTTGACGCCGTTCCTGGGCCATGCCCGGCGTCGAGAACGCGACCCTTCACTGCTCCTGCTGCTGTTCTCTGCAATAAGATCCACACGGGGGTGGCGATTGCAATGTTGTGCTGTCTTGCACCTCAGCGCCACAGGCCGCTAGTAAAGGCCACGTGGCGGTTCCCCAGCACATCCCTTCAGCACATCCCTGGTACCTTGCCCTTGACATCAGCCCTCCTTGCCTTGCTCTTTTCCGAGGACAAGGCGGCAGTGGTTTCAGAGAAAAACTCGAGGGTGTCGATGGGAATCTTCGTCTTCCTGGAGGAGCTTCAGTCAAGGAAGTCAAACTATTGATAAAACTGACAATCAAGGCCTCGCGTGCAGCTGCAGGGCCGCGGTCATGAAGCCCTGCAATTTTGGCGACTGCACACGAGCATAAAAACTCCATTCCGTGCCTGTGGAAAGAAGAAGCAGGAAATCCAGTAGCTCAACGGCGGCCTATGGTACAAACCAAGTTCACGGGACGTCTACTCCGCTTGATTGTAGTCAGCTTGCACAGCAAATCAGTGGGTTCGACACCCTTCGACCAGCCACTTCACCAAGAAGCCGATGCGGGCGATGAAGTCTACCACCTAAGCCCCACTTTTCTCTTTCTCACGATGGCGGATCCATCGTGTCAATCCAAAGCTGGAAAGAGTTCAATCTGGCGTGTCTTCTACCACAAGGCGACCCGATGTTGCATCGTATGGTTTAACCAAAGCTGCGAAGGAGACCGGGATAACGAGCAATCCCTTCCTGGATCTTGACGGCAGCAAGTTTTTTTCAACGGCAGCAAATCTTTTGTCATATCAGATCACTGCAAATGACGATGTGCTACACTATCTTTATCTGGTCAACAGCGACAAGTACCATGGTGTCGCGTGTTCAGGAGGTGGAAGAAGATCAGAAAAGTCGCCCGCCGGCCACATCCCCCCAACACCCGCTCTTGCACGACTATGGCTTTAGTTGGGCATCAGTGTTCCTGCGAGACAGCAATACAGGAAATTTCCTCCTCAGCACTGCCTACCTTCCACCATTGTGATCATCTCTGCAATACCTGATCGCGACACCCACAAGCTACAAGCCTTACTCAGCGCAACACCCAGGAGTTCAGCGGCTTCAGGCAGGGATATGCAACCTGCGCCGGTGCCCAAAGACCCCAAACTCCCGGCAGTTATGGTCGGTTCACAGACCGGTGTGAGCCTTTCCCCAATTGCCTGGGACCTTCTGCTCCTGGAAGGCGTTGAACCTGCAAACCAAGGCAGTACAGAGCAAGGCACCTGGGGCGGAACGACCGACTGCACGCTTGGGACGCGGCATTCCCTCCAGCTCCGCCGACATCAGCACCGTACCCTTGATGGCCTGCATATCCATACTCACTTTTTATTGCGATAGGATTGCTACAAGGGTACTAAAACGCTATTGTGTAATGGCAAGGTTGGTATGGTGCTACTAGGCGGAATGCGGCTGGGTGGATTTCAGATTCCATGCAGATCCCTGCTTGCCTTGCCCAGCATGACCAGGCTGGACTTGACCACCTTAATGAGCTTCTCGATGCGGGCATATTCCTGCGATGTTCTTCGGTTCTTGAGCCAGTCCTTTCACTTCTCCCGCCCAGGCCTGGCTGTGGAAGACACCAACGGAGACGATACCGCCTGTCACAATTCAGGCTCGAGTTCGCAGAAACTCGATTCGCTCGCTCTCAGTGGACCTTGAGCAGTCTTTTTGTAGGTTTCGGCGTGGGCCATTTTGCTCTTCACCGCGTCCGGAATTCGCTGCAAGAACTCCTTCATGCCCGCAGCTGTGGTCTAAGCAACCAGGAGATGGTCATGTCTCTGCTGCTGGCATCACGGCTGAATGACCATGTGTAGTGCACCGACGCATGTCCTGCGCCATATCCGCAACAATTTCTTCTGGCTTCTTGCCACCGCCACCCGAGGAAATGCGGGGCCTTTTTGGCAGTGCCGTGAGCTTGTGCACTCGCAACAAGAAGGCATAAACTAGAAGCCAGAAAGTTCGGACACCAATCATTAATACCCATGTCATCAGGGTAAAGTATAGGGAATCCCAGCATAAATTATCCTACACCCATGTTCCAACTTTCTGAGGTTCACTCTGGCCAGCACCAAGGCCGCGACTGAACGCTGACAACTGTATCCAGGAATTTCTTGGCCTGGTTGAACCTGGCTCAGCTCAGGTATGGCGACATAGCCAAGAGAGCTGAAAGAACAAGTTCATGTTGGAGACAGGCTACGCCACAAGTTTCTGAGCTGCTGGTTTAAGTCTCCGGCTGGGCTGTGATGAGCGCATTTGGGTGCAGCCTCGTACGCGTAAGACCAAAGGTACAGAAGAGAAACTACCACAACATGGGTGCCGTGCCCGAAAATGCGGGGGTCCTGCACTTGTCATCTCAAATCTTTCGACTAATCAATCAGTCAACCAAGCAACCAATCCATATCAATCCATCCATGCGTGCATGCACGCTTTTCGGTTTAGAGACCTGACTTTGAACAGATTCCGCAGAGTCCTCTCTTAGGCCATTAAGGGCCAAAGGCTTGGAGGGGTTCGACCAATGTCCGGCAACACAAAAACTCGCAATGTCGTCATTCCCCTTTCTCAACCGAGCTCGTGCTTGTCACACCCTCACACACTCTCTGTACTAAGTGGTTTTGGGAAGTCCTCTTTTGTCCGCGTTCGCGGCTGCCATATCAGATTCCTGGCACACGCCGATAGTGGCCTTGACACAGGCCGCCTTTGCCTGCAAACGCGCGCGAATGCGTCCAGCCGGACTTATTTGGGTCTCAGGCTCCTGATGATGTGTTTGCGTGCCTCCGGCATCGCTGGCGTGTGGAGTGCAGCTGCTTGCAAAAAAGGCTGCATGCCAGACATATTTTCCGTTGTTCCTCCTAAGCGGAACCTCTCGCTCTCATCAGGCCTTCTCGAGGGCTTACAATCGATACAAAATCACAAGTTCAGGATGATACTCCGTCTTTCGCATGGACGGAGGTTGGAACATCAAACTGAAGGTTGCACTGGCACAAGCAAACACCTGCTTGTGCAAGGTGACCAGGGCTTTTGTGCCACACGGACTTCTGACGCAGAGGACGCTTCAAGGGTGCAGCTTGAATGCATCTCGGTGTCCTCATCCATAGGCAATGACTTGAGATAGTCTCGGGTCTCCTGCAGGCCTTCGTCACACAGGTCCGACGTAAAACCACAGCTGTATACACCACCATGTTGAGTCAGGTGCTTCCCTCTTCAGGAATCCAATATGCCTGATTTGCACGAGGTTGGCGTACTCCGGGCATCAAAAGACTTTGAAGCTCGGATGCAGGCTTGGAGGTTTGCAAACTTGAAGCCTTTCTCCAGAATCCTCTCCTAGATTTGCAGAGGCTTTTGCCGAGATCATGACTGCAACATTCATAGCCCCAAAGGCCCCAAGCACCACATACCTGCATTGCCTGAGGCTTGCACGCTGAAGTAGCCCTTGAGCACTGCAGAGATGAGTCTCACGTCCTCACGATCTTCACAGCGGATAAGCTGCATGGGATGCAGTCCGAGCAGGGTCAGACTTCCTTGTCGTCAGTTACTCGCCCTCCATAGTTCACTTCCGCAATGATGTACCTTCGTCAAAACAGCTCCACAGATCTAAGATGCCGAAGTCTGTGGCAACGGGGCACCGCAGCGTGATCCATGGAACGTCTGGCTGGGACACCAGGTACATGCGGACCTGCTCTCGAGAGACCTGAGAAGCCCAGAGGCTGGTCGGTGCCGCAGAATGCCCCAATCAATGACACTCCGCGTGCCTGAAAGTCCGAGTCCATCCATTCATAGGGAATGTTCCAACCTCAGCCGCAGCGTGCCAATGGTCGAGAATGCCATCGCAACGCCGAATCTCTGGTGCTTCAGACATGCCGAGGGTCGGACCAATCGGGCCGAACTTTCGACGTTCGAGAATCACTGCATGGAAGAAAGCAAGCCCAAACAGAAGCTTCTTGAACCTGGGGCACGACTTTTAGCACTCCGAAGCAGCCTTTCTGGAGCTCCCATGGCTTCTCGCAATTTTGAGGACCAGGCTCGGCTGGCTTGGAAGGGCAGCTTTCAAAGACATCCTCTGCCATGCTGCACACAGTTCGTATGTGTTACCCGACATGATCGCCATCCACGCAGGTCCTCGCCAATGTCTTGGTAGGTACGACCCAAGTTGGCTCGCAAACCTGTTAGAAGTCAACTCTTCATCCCATGCAGCGATTGCTGAATACGTAGGGACTTCCGAATCAGCTTAGCCAGACGCCCTTTGGAGGCTCATTCGTGATCTTGATGCCACTTTGCAAGACCGGAACAGGGAATTTGGGAGATGGCATGCTCGTCAGCCACAGCCTGCGTTGGAATCCAGAATCCAGCAGAGCTGCTGAGGCACAGCTGAAAAGACTAAAGCAGAAGAAGACCAGCCAGTCCGACAGCCCGACAACCCCAGACGGCTCATAAAAAACCAAGCTGGATTGAACCGGCCTGTAGTCGGGATTGATCTTGTCAGGCGCTTGTGACTCTTGGATTGCTTCCAGCCTGCCATGACGGCAGCTTCTTCAATAAAAAGAAGCACCGGCTGGATTCACTTTTGCACAGCTCGGGTAGTTGGCTTCTGCTAGCATGTCAGTGTGCTTCGGAGGCGTCCTCATGACATCATAGTGCAGACAACAGGGGTCCTTGGCATCCAACTGTCCGCAAGGTGGCAGTTCTGGAGGCAGACCCAGTCTCCCGTGTCCCATCCTTGAAGCTTGGCACGTTTATCGAACAGACAAGGACGCAAGCGCCAGTTTCGATGCACCCCCTGGCTAGGGACCAGACCTAGCTTGATCAAAGCTTCGGCTTTGGGTCCCTGCACATCGCAGGCACTCCATCAAGCCCTGGTGCAAGCTTCCCCTCGACCCCACAGCCATCTCAAACGGAAGCTGAGTTTAAGATCACTTTTGCTGTCTCAGCGAGGAACCTGCCTGTCCCTGCCCCAGGGAAATGAAATGCAACTTTTCGGTGTATCCTTTCTCGGCAGCCAGGGTCAGCAAGTACCTGCCCGGCTTCGGCCAGGACATCTATGGATGGGTGCCTGTCAATGAACCCCATGTCCCTATCGACACCAACCTACAAGCCCCGGAAGCCCTTAAACCCCTAAACTCGTCAATGTGTCAGGCCACTAAACCCCAAAACCCGCAGATACTAAACCCTACAATCCTCAACTCCTAAACTCCCTCAAGCCTAAACCCCCCAAGGCTCACTCGGTGGGATCAGCACCGGCAGAGAGGACAAAGATCAAGGGCATTGTGGCCACCGAATCCTGGGAGCATGTGATGTTGGTTAGAAAGCTACAATGGACTGCAACATTATAACTTATGACTTAATAACTATCATATAGTAAAAATAATAATGATACTAATAACTACTATAACACATTGCTAGACCATACGGTAATATACCACGATACACTACAGCAACTATAGCAAACTAGAACAAACTATAATCATCTACTGTCAAGAGTTAAGGGTTCGGGGCTTTTCGAGCCTCCGACGGTTCTTCACACTTGCCAGGTCTACTGACTACTGCCAGTTGATGGGGGTTGTTATAGATAGCATGTTAGCGTTCGTGTTTGTATACTATAGTACATTCTAGTGTATTGGTACATTAGCCCCGAGCCTCGCTAGACTTCCTACTCAAGACTCAACTCAGAAGCCAGGCACTTCCAGTCACACAATAATGATAACCAGTATTATCAGTAGTAGTACTCGTATTCGTAGTCTTTGCATGTGTACTAGTACTTGTAATCACGCACGGCGGTGTCGCTCACATATTTATTCCAACCTTCGGACCTTCATGTTGCCCACGACAGCTCAACGTCCCAACGCCACATGTCCAACTGTCGGGACCCTGGCTGAGTAGCAACTCGCCAAGTTGAAGGGCGGTGACCTGTGGACTGCAAAATAAATGCCTGCCTAAGTACGTCGCAAACAGTATGGCATGGTACAACCACACAGTGCTCTGATCCTGGCTCGATGAAGAGTTGGCCCAGTTCATGGAAGACCTGGACGGGTGGCAACAGCACGGCGGCTTCGGTCTCGAATTGCAACTTGGACTTAAATCAGACTGCTCCTGGTCTGGGGTCCATGCAACATTCCGAGCCACGAAGTTCAAGAAGTTCTCTCCTTATCACGGAAGGCTCTGACCCTGGTCTTGCCCAATCATGGATAAGGGCCGCACGCATGCTCTTGATGACCAAAGCTTGCTGGAATGCAGTGAGCTTCGTGTCCCTGCAAGCCGGGCACGTGCAGGGAGGCATCTGTATGCATACATACATACATACATACGTACATACATACGTACATAAATCACATGTGCCTACATCTGACATATGTATACATATACTTATACATATATGTATACATACATATGCACACATGAGCATGAGTGTATGTATATATATATATATATATACATACATATATATATATATATATAGAAATGTACTCATACACATACACACGTTCACATGCACACACATATACATACACATCCACATGCATCTACATAAGCATGTACAAGTACATGCACATATATATATATACACATACATACACGAACATACGTACATACATACATACATACGTACGTAAATACATACATACAAATAACCGGATGATCGAAAATACTTCCGATGTATCGCTTCAGCCTCAAGCCTAGTAACTAGTAGCACAGTCCCAACTGAAACCAAATGTAAAGCCTTGCGCCTTCAAAGGAACCCTTATTGTAGCCTTACAGTGCCCGTAGGGTCCGGACCAAGGTTTCGGCATGGGTTGCTGGTACCTGAGGCAAGAGGGTCCATGTGATGCTCTGAGGGGTCGTCCACAAAAGTCTGGTAAGGGCAGGACATGTCATCACTTCGACAGAAAGCCTCCCAGCCGCTGTCATGTGCGATTGCCTGGTTCGAAGTCATATGCTACCACATGTTCTGCAACACAGCATCTTAGCATGCATGCATGCATGAAGCGAGACAGAATTCACAAGGACACTCTGACCTCCTTAAGACCCACAAACTGCATCTCGCCGTTGTGCGCCGTCAGTCGCTCCAGTACGTCCAACTTCACCCAAGCCTGGAGCGATGTTCAAAGCTGGAGAAATTGCCCTTTCTTCGAGCTTGTATGTCGGAGTGGTTTCTGAGGCTCGGACAGTTTTGTCCACCCAGGCGGGGCAAGCGACGCTGATCTCACCGTCCTCTAGAACGCCTTTACCTTCACGAAGGGAACCCGGAACAGGTGCTTAATCTCAACTCCTCTTCGTCTGCATGGTGCCTGCTTCGGCATTGCGCAAGAAGAAGAGCCACTCTGTTGGCCTCGGGTCACAGAATCTCAGCTTTCGAAAAAATTCACACCCGTTCTCACCATGATAGGATTTGTGCCTACCACGACAATCCATCGTGCTTTGACATTGACAAGACTGTAGGTCCTACTGTGACAGAGGCAAGGACCAGAACTTGACAAGGACAGCCTCTACGTACAGCGACAGGAAAACAGTCCGTAACTTGACAAGGACAGCCTCTACTTCCAGTGACAGGAGAAACGACCATACAATCGACAAGGGCAGTGTTTTTACATTGACAGGAGAAAAGATCATACCTTGTTTGTGACAGCTTTTACCGACACCGTGCACTTTTTCTTCTGGGCCAACACATCCTGTGTTTCTCGAACAAAGACGATGGCAGGTTGCTGCTCTGAAGGAACCCATTTCCTAAAAAATAACGGCCGCCTCCGCAGAGTCTCTCAGACGTGGACCGGAAGCCACAGGGGATGTGTATGAACGATGGGCGCAAACATGACTCTTTGATTCACGAACTGAGTTCTTGCCAACAAGCCTAGCACGGATAATGAAGGAACGTGTTACAATCATCGTACATACTATCTATAGTCAAAAGTTGTTGTAGTCGAAGAGTTTTTCAAATTCTTGAAGTAAAGGCTGCCCGGTCCCCTACGAAAGCCCCCCCGGCACCCACTCCACTGGCAGTCTCCGACAACAGTCACAGGGATCGAGCCCGTTGGGGCCCGCGATCCTTGTGACATTTCGACAGCCCTCGTTTTCGGAGGATGGGAAGGTCACCACGATGTAAAACTGCCAATAGTCGCTAGGATTGGACCTTGTAGTGTCATATCTCCCCTGACTCTCGCCGCATCTTAAACATGGCGACAGTAAGCCGGCACGTGGTCGTTACTTGCATGAATGCATGATTGTGTATGTTTTTTGTGCGGCCAGGTTGCAGACACGGTTGGCACCGGAACGGAACCCGCAGAACAAACCACCGGGGGCGAGCAGGCTACGGGCGTCGATGCAATGATTCGTGTCTGCGCCAGAGAGCGCGACAGGGGCAGTCTTCAACGAAAAAACAGAAAACCGCTACGTAGCAACGGCAATCAAGATGACGATACTACTGACAAATATCTGCAAGCACACTTCTGTAGGTTTGCTAGCTGCTCAGCAGCCAATCCAATGTAATTGAGCATGAGACATGAGACGAGTCGGCCACGATTACAGCTTCTGCTTGGTGGCATGCTGGAGCAAGCACAACACTAGACGTAAGCTCGAAGAGAGGGCCGGTGTTCCACCCCACAAAGAAGACCAGGAACCCAAGCAAGACCACGCAGGTGCCATGCCACAGGGGAGGGCGCGGGGGTATACTCAGGGGTGGGCTTAGTCCCTGCATCACATATTTAATTCACATCCTAACAGTACAATTCTTTGGGCTGGAGGCAATCACGATTGGTCCCAAAATCGCACAAAACGTGCCAGAAGTGGAGTTTTCGACCCCACAGAATCAATCAGCAGCCAAAACCTCTAAAATCCTGCATCCCTGCACCCCTCAGCACGGGCATGGGGGAGTCAGGATTTGGAAGTTCTAGGGCCCAAAAGCATCAACAAAAAGGCGCGGGGGAGTCAGGATTATTGAGTTTTCGGCCCCAGCTGTCATGGCTGTCATGGTAGGAGTTGACGTCGTGGTAACTGCACCGTGTGGCTTTCGAACCTTCGCTGGACCTGAGGGACAAACTTGATGGTGATCTTGTTGAGGAACTTCGAGTGAACCTGCACAACCCGGCAGCTGTAAGAAGCCACCGCAAAGCGCACCGGATTAATGAAACGGTTCGCCTCGTTTCTGAGGATCTGAACGGTGATGAGGAAGGAGAAGAGCAGTTTGTGGTCCTCACACGGCACCACGCATGAATTTCATCACTGTCGCCGCTCTGTTGCTCCAAGAAGTCTGGCACTGCGAAATCGGGCAAACTCGTAAACACGTATCAGAAGCTTCAAGAAAATGGTCCTCGAACAAGCCACGGCAGATGTTCAAGAAGATGAACCTCTTAGGGCTCGTCATCTTGCAAGGTAAACTTTACGCTGTTCAGGAGGAGGCCTCGTGAAGTCGTCTACAAGGATGTCGATGCGTTTGTTGATGTCCTGCACAAGCTCCCAGATCGAACAGCCCATGCTCTTGACCCAGCTCCCTGTCCCTGTCCTCAGACTGTTCTGCATCACGCAACCTGCCCTGGAAAAGGAGGACGAAGAACTCGAGGCTGTACCTCAACAAGGTACTGTGGTATGTTACAGGCTACGGTATCGGAGGAGCTGATCACTGTGCACAACTTGTGTGCCACTTGTTGGGGCCGTGGCTGGTACATGGGGTCGATGTTCGCCAAGTCGGCTACCCTTGGCGACTCAAAGCTGGTGAGACGAGCAGGCAGCGCAGAGCTATAACATGCTGCAATGTACTAAAATAGACCATAAGATACCACTATGATATACTAGACTATAACTATAACCCTACTAAACTTTGACTACACCGTAAAGTGTTTCACGAGCAGTCGTGACCGTCCGAGGTGCACGAAGTAGAGAATCGATGCCCTGCAAGTTTCTGAGCTGTTGTCCACAACTTCGTCGTGCTTGCACCCTCACATCAACTTTGACCGCAAGGCCTTGTCGCAACGGGTCTCAGCTTCTCCCGAACTGCATCGATTTCCGTCATCGCCTGATTTTCCCAAGCATGCTCAAAGGACACTCAAGCGGTCACATGCAGTGCCAGCCTTGTCGGCCACTTGCATCCGTTCCTGGCATTCCAGTCCAGTTCGCTTTGACCTCGGCGAAAGAAAGCCAGGCCACTCCATGCACGGAGGCAGCTCGTGACAGGCCGTGACAGGACTCGACTCTGGGGGCTTAACTGGTCCAAGGTGACGATCAGGGTGTCATCCTTCAAGACGTCGCCACCAGCCTGGTCACTTCAGAATCAGAGCGCTCCACACAATCAAAGGTTCAAGACAGCAGCCCGGCTGCAGTTGTCAAACAAGCTTTCATCAGCTCCAGATGCATACATGGCCTCAGCCAGCAGTTTGAGGATGAGCTGCTCCAGATCGTCCTCACCAGAAGAGAGTCAAAATCCGTGCTTGAAACCTTTGATATCAATCATTGCCTGCTGTATGCCTGGTAGCCGTGTGCAAACCTGCTAAACTTGCATCTTTGAGGAGACATGGTTCCATGAACTGCAAGCCTTAAGCCAAGGTCAGAAAATTGCTGGTCGCTAGATGAGTTCGGATCTCGTTAAACTCGATGTGACCAACCTGCCTGCCTGTAAACTCACTAAGCCGCAAACTCAGCATTAGCAACAAGTTTGGCAAAGCGTTTGGCAAGACCATGCAACAGATGCAATCACACACACAGCAAGAATGGAAATCAAGGCAATCCGACGAGAGAAAACGTTCAGATCTATTTCCGGGTCGGGCGATGGTGGCTAGACCGGAGGTAAGCCACTTGCTACGCTCGGCGGTGCATCAAGTTCAGGTTGATATCACCGATGACCGGACTGAAAACTCAACCTTGCAAAAGCTCTGTGCGCAGCTACGAGAAACCAAGTAAGTTGCCCAGTCCTGGGTTTTCTTGTCGGCTGCAATTTGCACGACAAGCTCTTGGCGCTGTTGCCTGCCATGTGTACCATAGAACTCTGCCATTAGAGCTGTGTACACAACACAGGCCAGGCTGACGCCAAGTCCGGCCGCTCATTTCCAACGACTTCGGCCACGAGCTGCTCCTTGCACACATGCATTAGCAAATAGAGCAGGTGGAAATTAGGCGTCGGCCTCTAGGCCCAGAAGAGTGACGGTGAAGTTGATGACGGTGACCTGTCGTTGCCCCGATGAAAACGGCTCTCTATCGCCAGCAATATCGATGAGCTGCAAAATCTCAAACTGCAAACTGCGACTGCAAACACACCTCTGGTCTCTCGACGGGAGGCTCTGGCTTTCAACCATGATAAGCGATTGAGAGTGCATCAGCTGCTCCGGCACCATGCTGTGCGTCAGAGAATGCCACACCTGGCCTTGATGCAAACCTCGGGCAAGTAGTGAGGATTGGCCATCTTAGTTGTGACATAGAAGGCCTCAGCAACGGCGTCGTGTTGAGCAACCGAGCATGCAGGAACACGAAGTTGGGAGGACGACAAAATTCTCGTCGTATGGCACATCTTCGGTTCCCAAACGAAGCAACAGCTGCCTGGCTCAAGCGAGTTGCAAACTGCTTCGCCAAATCAACATCAAAATGTGGCGAAAGCGAGCTTGGCGGACCCCCCTCTCTTGAAAAGTGCTTTCGTCAGCACAGGCTCGAGTGCAGGGTCCAATACCTGTCATGCGAAACGACCCCACCTCACTGCATAAGACTTAAAGCACGCCTCTTCCACATTTTCGATAAGGATGGAGTGGCCGTTGCGTATGCACCTCGAGCCCCAAGGCACATCCGGCTGCATCTTATGGTATGCCAGGCGCACAAGCATCTCGCGACGCGCTCCAATATGTGTCGAAGGTCGTATATATTTGCATCTCCTTGCCTTGAGGGACACAAACGCAACTACGGCACCGAAGCCGGATGAGATGGAAGGGCTGGGTGTTTGGCTAATTAATAATAATAGTAATAATAATAGTAGTAGTAGAAATAGCAATAATACTAGTAACGGTATTGGAACAATCATGAGGTGAAAAACTTCAGCCCGATGAATCCTGCAGTTCTGGAGCGATGGGCTGGCCCACGTCACCGTACCAGCCCTGCTCCTGAAGCGGAACCAAACCTTCTCGTGATATTTCTATAGAACTGAGGGCTTCGAGTTCGGAGTATCGGAGCATCGGCTCACAATCTGTCAAGCCTTGCGTCCTCAGGGAAAACATTGTCCTTGCAACAGTTTCCAGCAAACCACCTCTAACTCATGGTGCTGCTCGCGAACCTTGGCACATTTCAATACTTCCCCACATGTAGAACAAACTTTGGTTCGATGACAGGCTGCCGAATGCCGAAAGTGTTCAGTGCTGCTTGTTGCACCAGTCAACGTTTCCACCCCTCCACCGTGAAGAGTTGCTCCTCACCGCTGCTGTTTATCAGACGAAGCACTTCGACTGGCCATCTTCCCCGCAATGCGGCTCCTTCCGTCGCGCGCAGCGATCCCTACCTCTACCACTGCCCGGATACCATTCTTCCTGGTGCCCTTTGCAATCCCATCCTCTGCGACCCCAACCATTCCCCCATCCCATCCTCCGAAATAGTTTTTCCATAAATTTCCAATGCCCTCCAGAATTTCGCCAGCACGATGGGACTTCTCGGTTTTCCGCCACACAACCTTGCTAGGGCGAGAAGCCATGGTGCTAAGCGAAACTCTTCGAGCAGGTCGTTACCGGTTTCAGCTACAACAAATTACTTGACGACTCCACGCTGTTAAGAGGGTCGACCACGATGTCTACCTCGATTCAATCGCTCGGAGTGATGCTGAACTCCCACACGCTCGAGCTTCCCCGTTCCTAAGGGTGTATTTACGCAAATGTAGCAAGCTCGCAGTCACAAGTCTTGGAAGCTGACGATTCTAGCTTGCGAAGATACGTGCCATCGGAGAGCTTTGTGATAATGATGTTGTTCTCCTGACCAGCAGAGGGTGGATATCGTCACTGCCCATCAAACGTTTGCACATGTCGTCCAGCCTTGCCCATGTTGCGAACCCAGCGGTTAGCTTGACCCTGCGGATCCACCATGAGGGGCCACCGTCTTCCGCGCGTCACCTCCATCCGGAGACGGATCTGTGGGATATCGCAGCACAGTGCAGCAAAGAACCACCAGCCCACCATGAGGCCGTTCTCCACCGACAGATCGTCCGAGGGGAGAGCTTGGATGTTCCACATGCGAACCTGCTTGCCATGGCTGTAAGCACACAGTGTTGGATCGATCTCCCACCTCTGCCGGGTCGACCAGAACATCCGCGGCCTCTGTACTGACACGCGGTTTTCAACAATGAACTGTGAAGACATCCGGCAAAGCCTGCCAGTTGGGATCGCAAAGGAGACCTACGCCATCTGCCTGCTGCTTCCACTTGGCCACCTTGGACCATCACGTTAGAAAGATAGCCTACGCGTGCCTTTTGCGCTCAGGGCGGCACCAAACTACGGCGAAATTCTGCCGTAAAAGGCCCTGTGTACGCAATGAAGCCACCTGACATTCTCTGACACCACCATTCCCACCTTTTTCATGCGTTTCCAGCGGCACAGCAATTTGGAGCCTGCGAGGACAATGTTTCCAATCACAAACTTCAGGTTCTTCTCCAACACCTCACTGGCAGCCTGGGCACCCGAGTGGGTCGGCAAAACCGACAGCAAAGCACAGAGCACAACAAACCGTACCCGCTGACGAGGCCGTCCGTTCGGAAGCACTGAGGGGCACACATTCCAGCGCACACTCTCATTCCCCAGGCCAGCAAGTAGCTTTTCAGCACGGTCTAGCTTGATCACCTCAGACGTACGCGAGCAAAGGCTGTGCGCCTAGCTCCTGACCACCTTTCCCGTGCCTGGCAAGTGTCTCTAACTGACAGTGCTGAGTACTGACTAAAGAAGCTCTCGGTTTCTGCTGCGTTCCAACTCTGCACAGTTCGAGTCTTCTCCGGCTCACCACAGATGTGTTCACTGATCCAGCTTGCCTCCTGGATCCATTCTGCCTTACCGAACCAAGGTCGACGCGCAATCCTCTGCATCCGCCTCCAGTTGGGCAGCCTTCGAGGACGAACCGATTGAGATCTACATGCATGTATGCATGCAGACATATGTGTGTATGTGTATGTGCGCAGATGTGTGTGTACATATATTTTGGTATAAGTATATGTATATGTACATGTATATTTATATGTATATTGTGTGAAATGTACGCAGGAAAGTATGAAGATTCTACACATATACATAAATAAATGAATAAATTAATAAACAAATAAATAAATAAACATCTATATATAGGCATAGATGCAGATGCAGATGCAGATGCTGATACAAATCTAGATATTCTAGGTACATATATAGATATAGAAACAAATACCGGTGCAGATATAGAAACAGATATAGATATACACATAGATCCAGAAATAAGTTTAGATACAGATACAGGCGCAGAAGACATAGATCCACATATAGATATCATAGATGATATCGTTGAGAAACACCTTTACCTGCATCTACTTTACCGTAACTTGTTTTTCTGTACATCTTATATTCTATTACCACATGATCGTCGAAACGAGCGTCTGGCCTTGCGCTGGGCCGCAGCAAGCTGGGCCTCACGACGTCCGGTCGGCTGCCAGGTCTTCAGGTCGTTTCTCGAAACCCAAACGCAGCCCCGTCCTCCAGGGAGGCTACATTGTCCATCACCAGCTTCAATTCAGCCTGCTCCGCTCTTCTATCGACTCAAGCTTCGCAAGACAACAGAGCCCATGCTGAGCCAGATGAGAGCGCAAGATTACAATGTCGTGTCACAAGCGGCTTTCCTGGACGCAAGGAGTTCGGCATACATGTGCCGCAGGCGAGCAACGGTTGAGACACGTTGTGGTGGCTGCGCTGGCATCAGGATTGCTCGAAGCAGAAATGCGACTCAAGGCTTTCCTAGGTGAGCAGTCTCCTGACTCCCATGAACGGAAAGCGGTCAAGGATGCATCTTCCCATCGATGTGTTCAGCGAAGCTCTCGCAGCTGTGGCCAACCAGCCGAGCAGGATCTAGTCACCGTCCATCAAGTCGCACTTAAACTCTTAGAGTAGTAGCATGACGAGTGAAGAGCAGTGAAGGCCGTGGTCTCCTACAGGTCAACCGAAGCCGGTCTTCGGGAGTCTCGATGAGCCTCGTGTTCTCAGACTTCTGTCCGGATCTTGCCGAGCCGATCCCCGCGAACCAGTTTAAAGAGAGTTCGGACACGTTCAACCAGTCCTTGAGCTGATTTCCACACACTGCTGCGCCAGTCCGTCAACCACCAGAACAGAGATTCCTCCCGCCACCGATCATGGCCCTGAACGAAGCAGGTCCTTCCAGACTCGTCATCCAAGCTTCGCAAAGCCGAGCAAGAATACAGAATGTCCCACACCGTTACGTTGCAGCGTCCACGGAGGAGCGTCTTCTCCGCACAGGCCTTATCGATCATGGGTCCAACTGTGGGAAGCTTTTCAAAGATCAGTCCTCCAGCTCCCAACTCACAGGAAACGGCGTGAGCGGCTGCGATTCCAGATAGAAACGCCCCGGTAACGGTTCCGACGTTGTGAGACACATAGTCACCTGCGAAGAAGAGCCGCTTCATGATGGGCTCTCCGGCCCGCCGTGCAGCTGGCCTGCCACTTGAGCCTTTCTGCCAGAACGGCAAGCCCCACGGCCGCAGGACATGAGAGCCTTTCAGCTCTGGCAAGCTCCCAAACATCTCCTCCAAGCGGCCCAGCAGAAATTGGACCACGACGTCATCGGATTGATTGCTAAGCCGTTCCGCCAAGCGCCCGTCTGCTTCGGCCACCAGGGCAGGTGGATACGTGCCGGAGACAGGCGCAGTGAACTCAATTGAACACAAATCCACATCTTGGAGAAAGCTGCTCGTGCAGTTCGTGACAAAGTCCATGAAGAACTCCACCTCTGAAGGCCAAAAGTGCTTCTGGAACTCCAATGCCACTCGGATAGCACGACCCAAGCCCAGCTCCTTCCAAGCCTCTCGCTTCCAGCCAGGCAAAGGCTCGACTTCGACTTGACGCTCCCTCAACTCTCCTAAAGGCACCCCGAAGACTGCAACCCGCGACTTCAAGAAGTCCTTGAAGCCGTCACCTTCAACATGAACCAGCTGCGAGTCTGAGTCAAACCGCACTGACTTCACATGATGATTCAATCTCAAGTTCTGGAAGCTTGGATCTAGGATCTGCTGAACGATGCACTCCATTCCCTCCACAACTCGCCAGTCGCTCCCAACTCCATCAACGCTGTCATACTCGCAGTGCCTCCCAGCTGAAAGCTCGTGCAGAGGAGCGGTCCAGTCTTCAACTATCTCGCCGAAAAGGATTGCCGCAAACGCAGCTTCTTGTTCAGGTGAAAGCTCAAGTGATTTCTGCTCGAAGATGCGCTCAAAGACACGCAGGAGACTGTCATCCTTTCTCCCAACACTCTTCCACTGATTGTACCCAGCTTCGATGTCGTCCAGCAGGCCGAACATCTCCGCTACGACGGTTTGAGGTACTTGTTTCCCAGCGTGGTAAACGTTCATGTTCAGGTTTCGGGTCCGCACCATGCTGCAGTTGCCTTGCGTGGCCAAGTGTGTCAGCGGGTTCGCTGTGCCGTAATGGATCCATGCTGGACCAAGATCCACCCCGTACCGACCGTATTTCAGCGTTCGGCTGCGCCCACCAATTCGTTCTGACTTGTCGAGCAACAGCACCGACGAAACGTTAGCCTGCAGCAAATGCCTCACCGTCGAAAGGCCTGCTGGCCCGGCCCCAATCACTATGACGTCAAAGATCTCCTTTTGATCTTCTGAGGCTAAGGTTAACACGCAGCATAGAGTCACCACAGCGAAAGACCTCCAAGTTGCACGGAGCGGAGCGATCGGCATCTGTTCTTGAGCCTTGTACGCTGCAACGTGGACCAACGAGTTGTCACCGGCAACCTCATCTGGGCCATCTGATCCTAACATCGACACGCACAACGCCTTCTTGATGGCCAGCTTCTCTTCAGCAGCTGCCAGAGAATCCTCTGCAACCTTTAGCTTCGCCTGTTCATGGTGCGACTGTATCTTCAGAGGGACCAGCTTCGCGTGTCACGTACAGTACTAACAAGATGTAACAAATGCAGCGGAAAACAACCTCAAAGGGTTTCAGCAAAGACGGAAACCGGCATGTCCTCGTGCCCAGCACGGCACTTCTATCACTGCAGGTCCCCCGAAGCTAAAGGCCCGGCCTTCTTCGGTTCGATTTCCCGCGAGACACGCCCATAGACGTCCATGGCCCGCACCCACATGCCTCCCATGGCTCATGTAGCATCAACAATCCGTGTTTGGGGTGACGAACTGACCAGGTCCGATGGCTTGAATTCTGAGGATCCGATGGCGATGTCCCTCGCTGACATCATCTCTTCTTGCAACAAGCAGAGGGTCCAAACCGTCACCAGGCTTTTGTAGCTCGAGCACTCTCACACGAAAGTGTGGGAAAAGCCGCAATTCACTATTCAAGCAGCCCCAGGATTATTCCAACGAGTTCTGTCGTCCAGTTTGACGCCCCGGACACCTGTTGCTGTGGAATCCTGCTTACGAAATAGATTCCAGATGGTTCCCGACAGTATTCGTCTGGTTTCCACATGGGCTTTTGCAGCAGCAGTCTTAGTGTCTACCCGGCACCGTGTAGGAGTTCATCCAAAGCCAGGCACTAGGCAGAAAGCATCTAAACTGTTCGGCCGAGACACAGAGCGACATGGCGGCAGAAGACACGCTTTTGACCTGGCCAGGATTACATACATGGTGTCGCAGGCAGATGGACGGGTTATCATGCGAAGCGTCTGCAGCGCTTAGCAAAAGCCCCAGTAGCTTATCGCAAGTGGCAACGAATAGATGATGAGCAACACCTGCTACATTGACTGTGCATGGGAAACTCTGCAGAAATGAGTCTTCCCATTAATGACCTGCCAAAACAAGCTACAGTAGAGGTTGATGAGAGACGGTTCAACAAGATCCGTCCGAGCCTTTTCGGCCACGAAGTCTTCCCTGACACACAGAGGCATGATGGCGTTTCAGCTTCCTGCAGTATCAGTCAGAGCCACCTCTTGATGTACTTCTGCAACTTTTGGGTCAGCTTGGCGTTGTTGGCCAAGGCATCCTCCGGCTGACAGGAACGTCGTCAACCGCTGATTGGGTTACCGTTGCCACCCACTCGTCGGAAAGGCTATGGCAGCAAGACGCCCAAGCTCACAATGATGGGACCAACCGGACGGTGATCGTCACATCCCTTCGCAGAGGCCCAGATCTCTACAAGTGCTCTCTCGGATCCTTGTCGTAGGTCTTCAGATTGTCGAGGAACTTCGTGTCGTTCATGAGCCTGCTCGTTGTGGTGCTCTTACCGGCTCCACGCTCTGCATCGCTCTGCAGCACGAGGGACATCTGCATCAATCTGCCGTGTCAATGCCAAGTGGCTTCTTGGCATCGTCCCAGCTCTCTTTCTGGCCTTACCGGGTATGAGTGGTCGCTTCGAACTTGTGCGCCCAAAAACCGATTTGTCACACGGCGTCATCGGCTGCACTTTCATGCCGACTCTCAGCATCCTGTGTAACACGGCAACCTGCTCTATCCTCTTTTGTGAGAACGGAACTGATAGTAGAAAGGCAAGCAGTTCCAAGATCCAGGCCGAACAACAGACACACCGCACTCAAGACAACCTCCACATTTGAGATAGACTCCGGGCATCATGCATGAAGGCATGGGGACACACAGTATCTGCATCAATAAGGGTGCCTCTACTAGAGGCGGAGGCTTGGCAAACGACTTGACCTCTTGAATGTCCTGAAACGGAGCAGCTATGCACTGCCTCATCGCCACGTGGCTTTATCCAATCAGGCAAATTCACCGTCCTTCTTGTCGAGGGAATCAAGCGATTTGATTGCCGCATAATACTCGGGCAATGCCTACATCAAGGTGCTTGCAAACACGAGAAACCCGCTGACGAGTCGTCGATGAGTGTTGACATCAGGTGTTCACCTCGTCGAGGTCTTTCTGGCAGTCGGCCTTTATGCCATTGGCCTGTCAGAATCGCAAAGCATCTTTACGTGTCGTCATAAAAGTTGACTTTAGCTCCTTGCCTCCGCGGCAGCTTCCGAGGCAGCTTTCTCGTCAACGGCACATGCCTGTGGAGCAGCTGGGTGATCCCTTGGACACCCATGCACCCACCCGGCAGCAATGGTCGAGATTCCGTGGCACTCCTTTTCATGACGCGAGACCGCACCCGCAACCCAGATGCGGCTTTACCCACCATCGCCGCCAGCCCCAATCACGTGATGGCCCATAAGCCCACCCTTTCACGGTCTTCACTGAGTCAATATATCCCACCAAATGTCGCAGGCTGGGCAGGCAGGGAAGACATGACGACTGGCGACAAAACTATTGAATAGTTCAATAGACAGCAATACAGAACTTGACGAGAACAAAAAACAAAGGCGAAGTCGCGAAGTGGAGAGGGGCAGTCTTCCAGGACAGGCCACTGGTGCGACGCAAGTTTCCTGGGTTTCGGTGACTTGTAGGCAATGCAAGGGAGATACTGCATCTGCGTTAAGGCTGTGGTGGTGACGTGTCTCAATACACCGTGTTCGTCACCATGCTCTTCCGCGTGTTTGTTTAGGTCCAGAGCTGTGGCTGTGCATGACAGCATGACAGTACATGCTTGCAACAGTACATGTTAGCAGCTTCCAGCCTCGCTCTTTTCTTTTGCAATCGCCTGATCTGCTTGCACCTGCGAGTCAGGAGGACAGGAGGACCGGTGTGCCAAGAACATGTCTGACGTACAGAAAGTCCCACGACACGAGTTTTGTAGGGTCATTCTAAAGCTCTTGCCTTCACCATGAGCTCTGCAGTATCTTTCTTCGCCTGCTCGATCCTCGGATGGTTTCACAGCTCAACTTTAAGTTCACCACCAGCCAGTGGACTAGCTCGGGGAGGTGGGTGCCAGCATGGGTGCTACTGTTTCAACAGTTTCAGCTTAGTCGCGTGGGCTGCATCTTGGCCAAGGATGCCTGACTCGTCAGCTCGGAAGGATATGTTGGTATATATGTATATTAACCGCATCATGTCTTAGATTTTCATATGTTAGTATGTTATATCTGGAAACTATAATGTATCACGGGTTTGTATGTTATATATCGAGATACTTTTGTGCTGCGTGTGACAGTTGGGCTGGGCCTTCAGATCGTCCACAACAGACTTGGTCTCGTTCAGCGTCTTGGAGCCAATGGTGTAGCGTTCCAGCTTGGTGGTCAGCTCCCCACGCCTGCGCAAGTCGAGGCAATTTCAATGCAGAAATCTGCGTGAGGCACAGGGCCCAGGCTTTTTGCCCACCAGGTCTGTGAAGAGGCCGATGAGCTCCAAGTAGGAAGTTGGAGTCATGTATGTTCTTCTTCGCAGACCTCGCTGCTCGGGAATGCTCTGTGAAATCTTGCCAGGGCCCTGCGATCATTGCCTGACCATGGCAGAGGCTCAAGCTTTCGAAGAAGTCCTCTGCGGCATCTTTCGAAGTGCTGTGCATGTACCTGGTCGAGCAAAAAGGAAGGAGGAGTGCAGCACTTGGCAGGGATGTTCTAGGACTGCAGGGCACTGCGACACCTTTGAGAGCTGGTCCACCAAAGACTCCAGGCCTTGAGCAAACGATTCGTGAATCAACAAGCAGTATAGGAGTTCAGTAGAGCAGTCTGCGGGATCTGAAACGGACTGGGTGCATGGACCCAGCTCTTTCGGAGCTTGCGAATAGTAGCGAACGGCCACCTCATCTCCCACAGAATCTGTCATCGTGGATTTGCTTGAGCGCTTGGAATACTGCGCGGTTTTCCTGCAAGCAGCGCATGGTACTGAAGGTAACACGAGACCCTCGGACTAGCAAGGGCTTTCAAGAGTCCGGAAACTGTGACAGGTGGACGGGCATCAACAGGCAGGGTCGGTGAAGAAGCAAGAAACTCTGCTTGCGTCCCATCTTCATTACATGCCTTCGGCATTCGATGTATTCGTCTGTCCGAGCCCTGTGCGGAATACAGCGCATCAGCTGGCCATGGACCTTCAGCTGTGCAAAAATGCCAGGTTCTTGCAAGTCAGCTGACATCTGAATCATGTGGCATCACCATGGCACCACATCCACTAGGCCAGGAGTCTGAGGCCGACGGCTGAACCAGTCGATCGTTGCGCAGTTGATGATGGATGGAAATTGTCGGCCTGCAGTCGGCAGTCAGTGAGAGAGCTCCCTGGCGGAAGGCCCGAACCCGAAACAGGTGGACTTGTAGACCGGAATGAAGGATACGATTTCACTAGCTGTAAACACAAACAACTTGTCGGGAAGTTCTTGAAAAGATGCCGACCGCTTACATGCAGCTTGCAGTCTCCAGCGTAGTTACGGACCTTGCCTTTTTGAGTTCTACGGTTACGATATCGCGTCAAAGATCTCGTTCCCGAACCGTCATTTAAATTGTGTGTGCCGGCACACGCATGCCGGATGTGCAACCCTGCGAATTAGATTTTGGATCTTACGATGTCGCTTCTGCACTGCAAGCGCGTCTTTTCCCGAGCCTACTGATAGCGTGTTGCTTGCTGATTGCTTGTTCGCACTTTTCTTGGGTATCTTTTCGCTTTAGGCAAGTCGGAGAATCCTGAAGGACTGAACGGAACTTTCTTGTGATGAGTGCTTCATCATGCCGAAACGCTGAGGCCACTATCTGAGTACTTCTTGTTGCACAGTTCACCATCCTCCGGTGACAGCCGGTGGCTGTAGCAACCAATGTCGCCAACATTCAATGATGGGAAGCGCTTGAAGTGCGTGGTCCACCATTCCATCAAACGATGAACTTCTGCTTCGAGTACTCTGAGTTCCTGCGCCACTTGGGCAGCTGTGTCCCGCTAGCAGCCAGCAACAGTACAGAAGGCCAGCAAGCGAGCTTCAGCTCGTTTCAATGAAGCCTGAACGGAGAATATGTGTCTGCTTTTCGTTCCATTCGGCGTTGCTCGACTAGGGGTCACACCCTTGTTGCATGTTCTCGTGGTTTCCGTTTATGTCAGGCATTCTGAATCCGTGTTGCTGTCTTGTAAATGCCTTGTGCTCATGCTTGTGGCAGTTTTAAAAGGCATCTCAGTCGCCGGCATCGTGCTCGGAAGCCTTCGCCAATCGGCGAGAATGCCAAGACCTCAGTCTCCCACTTCTGCAATCTCAATCAATCTCAGAACTCATGTTTGCCTGCATGCCTGCCTCGCTGCCCCTGAGGCCTGCGCAATGTGCAAGTTCTCCCGAATAACCTGTGCATGGCAAGAACTGGCAGAATGGCTGCTGGACAGGCATGGTCTCGCATTGCACGAAACAAACATCATACACAACTGTGCCATTCGCGCACATGTGCAGGACACGTGCCTGCACGAAATACTGCCAAATTGCATCTCGCGTCTCTGGCTTCCCTGCGGCCTTCGGCAGACAGATCACAGGACAACATGTAGCGAGGACTTCCGATTGAAGTGGGCCTTGGCCAAAGGCCGCCTGGGCAGCCCAAATAGACACACAGATGAGTCTATGCGAGTCGGGCTTCTTGTGGCTTTCTGGCAAGTTGCATCAGGCCAATCACACCCTCCAGCTCATCGGGTGCAAAGAGGTTCGGCACCTCGGTTGCGCCCAGAAATGTGGCAGCTAACCGCACCATCCAGAGACCACTGCACCTCACCAGTGTTCAGAATGTTGTTGATGTCTTCCAAGAAGGACCTAAGACTCGAGGCAACACCGCCATGGACACCCGGAATGTGCGAACAAAGATGCACAAAGCACGAGGCATACTTCATCGACTGTTGCCCTTGATAAATTAGGTTAGGCATTCTCTTGTAGGTGCTGTTCTCCACCAGGCTCTGTAAGAACACTTATCCGCTGTACGCATCGTGTGTATGTGAGTATGTATTCGTATGCATGTGTATGTCTACGTGTATGTTTGTGCATGTCTGTGCATGTGCAGCGGTAGATGATTAAATGCACAAAAAAATTCCAGTAAACATCGTGTTGACAACTCGTAGGAACATGTCTTCTCTTATGTACACATGTACTTAAGTATGCACTGAAACAACTATACATGGATATAAACATGAGCACATGCCGTGTACAAACAAGCACTCCAGCCTGCCTGGTTCCATCCCTCAGAACTGACATGCGTGCAGACGCGGGCAAATACAGTTTATTAATGAGCACAACCAAGACTGTACATCCAGAAACGTCCGTTTGCATGCACAGCTGCAAAAATTCATATGTGTGCCAGCCTACACCTGCTTGCGTTTGCGTGGGAATATGTGTGTGTGTGTGTATGCGTGTACAACTGTATATATTTAAATGCGTGTGTACATACATGTCAATGTGTACACACTGCGAGAAACACAAACAAAGCCGGTAACCATATGCGCGTATACACCTGCACAGTCAAGCACAGAGAGATGCATAGGCTCCCATTCCTATAAATCTTCCGTAGGCCTCGTAATTGGAATGCTTGAACTGTTTTTGCATGGCCTGTGTCAGACGTACAGTTTCAAGCCCATACAGCAACCTGTTCTTGATGATAGAGCATCATACACATGTAGTTTCCAATGCTTAGGGCAGTTGGCGGATATCCAGAAAGCGTTCAGCTTGAACCATAACTTAAGAGTTTGCTGCATTTGATGGTTGATTTCATGCCTGACGTCCATACCCTGAAATAAGTTGCCTCGCTAACCCTTTTCAATCGCGTGCCGTCTGCGAATTTAGTGATATTGTTAATATTGTTGCCGTTCATTGCAATATAAGAGCATTTGTCTCTCGCTCTGTCAAAGTCAAGTCCTTCGAACCGCACATTACAGGTTCTAGCCGTGATATTCCTGCTAATGTCATGATCAATAACGCTCATGACCAGAACAAACAAACACGGTGAAAGAGGACAGCCCTGTCTAATACGTGAGCTCTGAACTTTAGTCTTGGATGCGCCATATGCGTCTTCTACATAAAACTTTGGGTTCGTGAAACAGTCCATGAGGACATCGATAAAGTGCTGATGTACGACTATGAGCTCTAACGCTATAGCCATTCTGTCAGTTGGATCCTGTCCAAAGCTTTCTCCCAATCAAGCACTGATTGAGTTAGTCCCGCGGATCTGCGATGTCTTGCATACGCCTCGTAAAGAAGATGGCGTGAGAGGTGCTTCAAGAAGGCCTAAAACCATATGGGGAGTTCTTTGAATTAGGGTCCCCGTTTGGCCCCACAATAGTACGGCACCCGTTTAACACGGACTCCCAAAAGGGACACTAATTTAGAGAACTACCCATATTAATATTGAGTTGCAGATAGCGTGGGGTCAAGAACGACCTGCAATCGATTCCGGATCTTTCGTAAACAGATTTGAGACGTGAAATAGGGCGATAGTTTGATGGTATATAGGTATCTCCTTTCTTGTATAATTGCATAACACGAGCCAGGCAAGCATCTTCAGAGATCTGTTTTGTAGACCACCATTTATTATGTTCAAAAACGATCACGGTGTGTTTATTCATCCGTTTAAACAGTTCCATTGTTGGCACGTCTGGCCCCGGTTGCTTGTTGTTCTTCATACTCTTTAAGGCTGCTTCAAATTCCTCGTAACTGAAACAATCAACGTTGAATGCACCGTCTCAACATTGAAGTTTTGCTGTTCTTTCGATGCTTAATGTGTATGTGTTATGCCATTGCTTTTCTTCCAAATATTTCGCAATAGTCTCTGGCTGGCCGTCATTGGTGCGAGTAATTCATCCGCGAGCTCGACAACCCGACACACTGGGCGTGTCCGCAACTATGGTAACGCAGAGTCAGCTATTTGCATTCAGGGTCAACCCTGTTAGCTTTACATGCAGTTCTCCTGCACATAGATTAAAGGTTGCAGGCCACAAATGCCGGAACCCCGAGGGACTGGCTCCTTGACAATCTGCGTGTCCGAGAAGAGGAAGACAACACCCTTGCCTCCAGTCTTTCTCTCGGTCGTGTGACAGATCCGTACAACAAGATTCGCGGTCGTCTTCAAGGAGCAAGAGCTAGAGCATGAGGGGCTGGAGAAGTAAAGGCAGTTGCAGCGGTCGCGCTCCACCCGATAAGGACAAGAAGCTCAAATCTTGGACTGGCAACAACAAAGCTTGCACACAGTTGCCGACAGGTGCTCGGTCATCTGTTAGCATCTTGTTAAAAGAAACGCAACAGCAGCCTCCTCCTTTCGCAACGCCGTTCATGATGTTCTTCAAGTCTTCTTTGAAATCGTTGGCACCTGACGGACAATAAGGCTTGGCACACCGCATCAACAGAAGAATACGCTCAATACATGCACTGAGAATCATGCCATACGTCCGTGTAATCTCAATGGAGAAACACTGGAAGTCTGCCATGTGAGCCGCAATGCGGGCTATGGACTTCCGCCCAACGCCACTCACCCCGACCTTCAGAGGTTGGTTACATCTGCGAACAGAGGGAAAGCCAACTGCGCCACAACTTCGAGGACTTGGGATGCTGCCATCAGCAGGTTTCCACCTGTCGCGGCGCTGGCCGTTGGTATAGCCGGTGGTTACATCCATCGTGAAAGGGACTGCCCTCTGTTCTCCAGCAGCTACCCAGTGCAGTCGTGCTACGAGGCTGTCGGATGGTTCTTGTTGCCCTCGCCAGATGCATGCCTGGAGAATGGGCAGAAAGGAGCAACAGCACTGAATAGATGGCCTGTCTCATGAGGTCTAAATGCCGGACATGCATCACGGAAGAAGACGATGTTCATCCTGGGGCCAACTCGTCGCACGAGCCAAGTGCAGTGTCAAGACAAAGCCCCTGCCGAGAAGCTTGGTCGGCATGAGATTGTTGTAGTCGTCCAGCATCTCTTGGAATATGCTCACGCATTTCTCTTCACTGTCTGCCTTCTGGTAGGGGTTCACATCCTCGGACAAAGGCAGATGTTCCAGCAACATGTTAAAGGCGAGAGAAAGAGAGAAAGAGGGATAGAGGGAGAGAGAGTGATAGAGAGAGAGAGAGAGCGAGGGCGCATCATCTGCGAATCGACTGCGGGCAACCGATGAAGACAGTACAGCTCTTTTATCGTGGCTGCGGTGTGCAGGAGAGGACCACTAGCGTCTTGCAGAATGCAGTGCGCCAGCTGCATCCCGCGCTGGCAACAAGTTCGAGCTGAAAGGTTTTTTGGTTTCGACTCTTTGAGCCAACGTGTCAAAAACGGGAGATAATGGAGGCACCAAGCACATCAAGCACATGCAGAGCAGCTTAGTCCGTCACGCCACCCCGTGTCAGGAAATCACCGAAGATGAGATCTCTGAACCTTGCGGCTGACGAGCAGTGCCGGCTGCGGGCAAAAAGCATGATCAATGATGCGGCACAGAGCGTCCGGCTGATCAATCTTCGCAGCACCGGCAATTTCAGCATTCAGCTTGTCTGAAATCATAGAATTGAACCTTAAAGCGTGATGCCACAAAGAGTGCAAAAGCGTCGAAAATGAAATACGGCATGCTGACTGCATGCTGACTGTCAGAATCTTCGAGCAATCAGTTCCAGACCATTCTCGGTCGACATCATCAATGAGACGGTCCTCAACTGTTTCTGTACGTTCTGCCTAAAACCCGACACGGCATAGAATCAGAAGCCAAACTCACGGAAAATCAGTTGGCAAACGAACATTCCATCCTGAGGCCCCCTGTGCTAAAAGCGCACCCTGAGCGAAAGGAAGCCAGGTGCGTCACGAGGATGCGTGTATTGAGTTCAGGGCAGGCGAAGCTCCGACACTGATTCGCGGCAGCTTCCAATATGTGTCGAAGAACTTGACGAAAACCCACCAAAACCCAACAAAACCCGTCGCCTCAGCATGCCTCGGGCACTGCATGCAACCAAGGCTCTCGGAAGACCCGGCAGCTCTCGTGTAAGAACAGATCTATGAGGTCCTGCACAGATATGTTAATGCTACTCGCACTGGAATAGGGATTGCCAAGTTACAAACCGCTGCTAACAATTCCTTCAGATCGGAGCTGAAAGGGAAACAGGGGCTCTCCTAGTCATTATGTTCTTTTCTTGCTCTTCCAGTATGCAAGTCGGTTCTTATATCATTCCCGTCGCACTGTAATGTAGTCCAGTGGCATCTATCCCTAACCATGGGGTGCCTCGTACGAGCAACCTGTCTGGTTCAAAAGATCACAACGTGGATGACGGCCATTGCAGGCACAGGTTCTCCTGGTTGCTTTTCAGCGAGGTCTTCACATCCACCATGAGCATGCCCTGCAGACGTCCCGGACACAAGCTGTTTCCTGAAGAATCTGGAAGGAACAGTCACGTGGTGGAGCCTGCACCATCTTCGCGGGGTCGCGAAGATTGAAGGTGTAATGACCTGAAACGCGAAGCACATGCTCGACCTAGGCATGCAACTCTCAGATCCAGCGGTGTGTTCGTATGGCCACGACATTTCACCGGTGTCGGAAGCAAATCCTTTGAGATCTGGAAGAACATCTTCACCTGAGTTCACTTGCTGCGTCAAGGGACACGGCTCCAAATGGAAATCCCGTTTGAGTCCAGAAGAAAACGCTCCAACGTCGCCACTTTTGCAGAGGAGCTGTTGCGGTGATGATGGGAACCGAAAGCTCCTGCAGGTCCGGCTTGTTGACACCGAGCCAGCCACCTGCACTCCAGAGATTGCATGAAATCCTCAAGGCTCTGTACGGACACAGGTGCGAGGGTAGCAAGACCAAGGCAGGCTTCAGAAATGTGTCTGCAACTTTTTCCATCCTGATCTGACTCTGCTTGGAGCACATCTGTCCAGGCTTCCTGTCGAAACTCTTACCTGCATCGTGCGTTGTCAACTCCGGGTGCTAAGGATTCAGCATCACAGGTGCATCCACTTCCTAGTTAAGCAGCACCTTAGGCCCTGGCCCTAGCCAGTTGTCCTACTCTTTGCATCTTCGAAGTGAGCTGCTACACCACCACAGGCAGTGGATGCAAATTGAGATTATTCTGAACGGCTCCTCCCCACAGCAGTGTTGACCGATCATTTTGCGACGATCACTGCAAGCACAGATGAGTCCTCCGACACACACCACAGTTCGACAACAGCCCTCCATGCCGTCATTCACACTGAGCTTGCCACAAATGAGCAGCTGCCACGCCGAGGGCTGCCTGTATGTCTGCCAGACCTGAAGTCTGAAGGCTGGCAAAGCCATGAGAATTCGAGGCACCAAAGGCTAAAGGCATGCCAGAAGCTCGGACACGAGCCCTTACCTTTTGGCCAGCCGTGCATTGATCATGGCCTTACAACCACATTGGCACGTCGCTTGGATGTCACTGATACGAGTGACATGAACTTTGCCTGTAGATCGCTCTGATTCGCACCCTTGACCAGTTCCTGGATCAGCAGAGATTCTGCACCTGAACATCTGCGCGGTGCAGCGCCGGCCTTCATCCGGTTGCGCTCTTTGAGATCTTCCTCCGTCACAACTACATACAAAGGTCGTGTGCAAAAGCAGGAAAATTCCACCCCTTTTCTGCGAGCCTGTGCTTTCCTGAAAATCTCCCGGGCTTCTTGAATCTCCCCCTCTGTTGCTGGTGGTGGTAAAGCATCGCTGCCCTTGGCCCACGAAAGATTCAGCAGAAGTGCATGTCACTTCCACTGCTCGGACCGGCAACAATTAAGGCAAGCACGGCCTCACTTGCGTTGTCATTGTCTCGCTGCCCCTGGAACTCATCGGATCACGTGAGAACTGCGACAACACGATTGTGCGGTCAGGGCACTTGGTCTATGCGCTCCATCTCTTCCATCTCTTCTGCAAGCAACTCTTCTTCGACGTCACGTTCTTTGCGATCCATCCGCCTCTGCGCGGATGCGTCCTGGCCGATGCTACAGGAGCATGTGTTAGGGTCGATATGGTTCATGAATCAACAAGCGAACCAGGATCCAACTTTCAGACCGTCGTGAGTGAGTCCTTGGGCGGGCGACTGCTATGAGCAAATAGCAAAACCAAAAGAATGCTACAGCAGCAGCAGCAGCAGCAGCAGCACCAGCACCAGCACCAGCGGCAGCCGCAGCAACGGCAAGCTGCGGTTGCGCCAGCTGTACCCCCACCAGCAACGGCACCGGCCACAGCAGAAACCGTCAAGAAGCGACGACAGCGACAGTGGAACAAAGAAGCAACTGCTCACGGCGGACTGCCAAGGACGCAAAAAGTGCAAGATAGTTCTTGCGACAAACGACGTGCAGGCACCGGGCTTGCATACGGCACACGGGAGATTGACAACCCCACCTCGCTGTGCAGCTCGTCCTGCCTTGTGGATAGAATCGAAGTCAGAGAGATGGACTACAACGAAATCATAACGGAAGCATTGGAAGACTGACGATAGTCTGCGACGAGTCTGCGAGGCTGGTCGGGCGCAGTGGAAGTGAGCTCCCAGGGTTGGGTCTGATATCATGTCCTCTCGAACTCTGTTGTGGCTTGCACAGAGCAGTTCTCCCAAGGCAGTTGACGTGCCCAGCGCAATGCCACTTGCCATTAAATCGAAGGCAACGACTAGACAGCAATAATTAGATAATCACTGATAGCAAGACATGACAACACGTGGATGGTTGGCATGTCCAACGCATCTAAGCATGACCCTCGCCAGGCCATGTGCTGTGCACGCGCTTGTCTCACGGTGCACTCCCGCTCCATGACCCCATGCGGTTCCACACCCACCGCTCGGGCCAAAGACCTATTCAGACCTTTTGGAAAAATGCTTTCGCGTCTAGAGTTTGGTCGGCTTACCAACAAGCCCAAAGCCATCAGATGCAATCGATGATGCCCACCAAGAACCTTTCACTCACAGCGTGAGTTGCCCATCAAAGCTTAAGGTTGTTGGGGAACCAGTCCTGCGCGTCCCAATCATTTCCCCAGTCGTTGTAGCCGGGACCTCAATTCACATGATCATGGAGAATCGGTCGTCGTAGGCGCTGCAGAAAGATTTGAGTGTCATGTCAAGCTGAAGGCACGACAACCGGAACACCCAAGTTGTGTAAGCATGGCCTCATTCCCAGGTTCAAGAAATTGAAGACAGGCAACACATGGCAGACTTCTGCGCGGGAGCCGTCGCGCATGACCAGTCCTGCAGCAGTGGTGGAAAATGATTCGTTCAACTCTCTGCTCACGCTTTCCAGCCTTGCTTCCAGAACCACCATCGCCATGAGAGTAGGTATCACCACGGTTTCCCTGCATGTAGAACTTGCCTCAGTTAGCAATGTACTCAGCAATTCAAACCATACATCTGCTGATGACATCTACAGCGCGCAGCAACCACATTGGTTCGAGCGTACGATCGCGAACGGTCGATTTGTGATACATACATTGTGGCAGGCCGGCATTTAAAATGTCTCCCTGAAAGCACACAGCAAGCCCAAGGTCGCTCTACTCTTCACTAAAATTCCTGAAACTTTATATGAAAAGTCACTTGGTTTCATTCCGTACTTCATCTCCGTTCCAAAGGCGTGCTGTGCTGCTCATTTGATTGTGAATGGCAAAACTTTCGCTTGAAGGACCGCGGCATTGAGCCGTGTGTTAGAGTTGGTGCGTTTTAATATGTTAGTTTGTTTTGGAACACTGATGTTGATTTATTTTCGTGGCCTCTGCGAATGAAGAAGACGACACTAGGCACGCCACAACAAAGGAATGGTGCAATGACAATGTAAACCGAAATGCTAACACTACCAAACAACTTTCCTGCCTGTTTCTTGGTGCTGCTTCTTGTTCGTTTATGCTCCTGTCAAATTCTCCCCAAAAAGAACGAATCCCAAGGCCCACCGATTTTTACAGACAGTTGCTTGACTGGGCTGTCCTGACGCTAGCAGCGCCAAACAAGCCAAACGTGGCCATGAAAGCCTCTCAAACGAGTCAATACCCACCCCCGTCCGAATCTCGAAAAGTCGGGTCAAGCTAATGCAAATTTGTCCATCCACATCAATACACAGAATTGAATCAAGTCTTCACCAGCCCCCAAATGCAACTGCAGGGCTGTCTCCTTCCCAGGAGTCACCATAACCATCGCCGTAGCTTCCGTAGCCATAATTGCCGGACGAATAGTCTCCAGTATCTGCAGATTATTGCAGATTAATGACACAAGCTGTTGAAGAAGAACAAAGCCAAGCAGGGGCCATGTTGGCTCGTAGGACTCGTCCACAGCTTTGGACGGCTAGATGCAGCAGAGAGGCACATCGTCGCACCCTTTCCACCACCTTTGCCTGCACCCTTCATGCCCTTTCCTGCCACAGAATCAGGCAGGAATCAAGGCCGATGTAGATATCTACAGGCACCTATGCAAGCTCCACAAATACATGCGAACATCTAAGTCTGCGCTTTGGCTATGTGCATACACACACAGACATACATACATACATACATACATACATACATACCTACCTACCTACCTACCTACCTACCTACCTACCTACCTACCTACGTACATAGAACTTCATCCCCAAATGCTCTAAGCCCCAAATCGTTAAAACTGCACAGAACCTGCGCAAAGAAAACAACACAGTCCGAAATCCCAGCCCGAATGGCACGGAGCCCGCGCACGCAGTGGTTTGAAATCCAGAGCCTACAAGCCCGCACCCCGGAACGGACAACGTCCAATCGTCCAAAATTGAAACAGTCACGTCGATATCAGAACGTCCGATCGTCTGGTCCGTTCTGTTTGCATGCAAACCTATATTGTATATATTATATACATGTGCATGCGAAAACCAAAAACATGCATAATGATTATTTGGAAGGAAGGTATGGTCCGTCTATCCGACACATAGTTCTCCGATGCTGCGGGGCTGCCTCCCTCCCAGGAGTCACCATAGCCATTGCCATAGCCTCCGTAGCCATAGCTGCCGGATGCATAGTCTCCGCCGAACCCACCATCTGCGCACGTCAAGACATCTGTGGACAAATCGCACAAGTGCTCCGACAAAAACTGTCGCCTCCACTGTAGCTACCTGAATTTGAACCGTACCAAGGTCCGCCGCCGTTCATCGCAAGCTGTTCCTGGGTCAGTTGCTCAGACAACGGTTCTTGCAACCTTGAACAGAATTGAACACCTTGCAAAGCCACGTGCAGCACGAGACTCCCTTTCGCAAGCCGGACGATGCAATGCTGTGGCTATGGAAAATGCGAATAATCTAGCAAGATCTAGCAAGGATGACAGTGCTAGCATCTCTTGGGCTAATAAGTACCGGAAGCTTGAAGCTTGGAAGCTACAGATCACCAGCTGGCTTTCTACTGCTTCTGTCGTCCGGACGTAGCATGCACAAACCGGCATCAGCCAGATGTGCCCAAGCCAATTCAAAGAGGCAAGCACATAATCCCAAGGCTTGACTTTCAAAGTGTCGGAGCTCAGGCAGCAAGAAAGGAAACATACAGCGCCAGCCTAGGATGCTGGAAAGGATTCGTTGCATGGCATCCTGGGATAAAGCCTCAGTTCAGGTGTTGTGCCGTGCAGCTGTGCATTCCCACCCTTTGAAAAATCTGGGCACTAGATTCACTAGATGTCATCCATTGTCAATCCGGAATTCTTCGGGTAGTTAAAGTCGGGTACGCGACGCTCTCACTCCGGCATCAAGTCTCCGCCAACCTGCATCTTCCATAAATATGGTTTTCGTCTGTAACCCTCCTGTCACTCTCGGCTCCGATTCCAAAACCCGCCCGGTCAGTCTCTCCCTATCTTGAAGACAGAGCTGTGACCGCGGGAGACTGTGGGATCCTCTAGAGCCTCTCACCCGGGAGACCAGGATGGGGCCGGGCCACGACTCCGAGCGATTTACACATATATATATATATATATATCTATCTATCTATCTATCTATCTCTGTCTTTGCTTTGCTTTGCTTTGCTTTGCTAGGGGTCAAGGCCGAGGGGTGTGCCCCCCAGTCCGCGCCTAGGCGCATCCCCGTCCATCCCTCTCTCTCTCTCTCTCTCTCTCTTTCTTTCGCCAGGGCTAGGGGCAAGAGGGGCAAGCCCCCCTCACCCGCGCGCGTTAAGCGCCCCCGACATGTGGGGAGCGATTGGTGAGATATGCATGCAACA